ACTATATAATCCACAAATGAGGCTCTTCAAATCTTCTGTGGCACTTGGGAAAGCTATGTATAAACACAGTTGGAGATGGCAGACAGACACATTATTTCCGTATCTTTCACCCAAGACACATATATTTAACATGCAGTCTATGTTATTCCCAGGCACAAACATACAAACACATAAAAAACAAAACCCGTTTCTATACATCAGGAAAACTGAAGACTGAGTTCTCCCTCACTCTCAATCCCTCCCAAACAATAGCCAACCAACCATTAATATTTAATATTATACTGAAATATGTTTTAAATACCCTATTTAAAATACTTATCCATACTTACTGAAGTTTCTTCCTCCATCTCTAAAATGTAAGAGATACCTTCATCTGACGGCGTTCCTGCAGGTTTGCTCCATTGTAAGGATAGCCAGGTAACCCCAGCCTTAGTTAATACAGGACTTGCTGGCATAGAAGGGGCACAGCCTGAGGTGTAATATAAAACTTCTTCACTAAAACCACTGTTGAAACAAATGGTTTTTAAGAAGGAATGAAAAAAAGTTTATTTTTACAGATAAAGAGTTTTTGATAAATGACATTTTGGAGAAAATGACAATTTTTGATAACTAATTATAATCTAAATAACGTATCTTGAATTTGATAATATCTTTATGGTAACCAGGTCAGCTACCTAAAAGTGAGTTAGCATTCTTTTAAAACTAAAACTTCTAAAATAAACAAATACATCCTCTTATAGCTTTTAACACATCTGAACTATTATCAACAAAATGATAAATTAAAGCAGGATTTTAGTGGATAATTTAGACTGTGGGTAATTTACACAAATGAAGCTGAATGGAAAATCCAAAATATCTATATTAAAACGTATCTTACCTTGTACCATAGTCATTTTTGGCTGATAGCCTAAATTTACAACCCATTGCTGGTGACAGTTTTGTAATTTTAAATTGCTTCTGTGAGCCCATGTAACACTGACAAAATTCTCCATTTCCTTTTCCCTAAAAGAAATGGCTGATTATTATATATCATGTACATTATTGTAAAAGGATAAATCCACATCAATTCCTACTTGATAGATAGTAACATATTAGGCTAGCATACATTAAAAGTCATCTTTGTTACATGATCTCAAGAGAAAGCTGAAATAACACACATCTTTTAAATGATACTATTGGTTAAATGCACAAGTCAAAAACTGGGTAACAGGTATCTTTCTATAGCTTCTTGAACTAAGGACCCTGCTTTAGCTGGTGCTAAACCTCTGGCTTTAGTAAAAGAATATTTTTCCAGGTATGGACCCCACAATCTCTATTGGGGGGACTGACTGGTAGTGGTGGAAACATGGTAAATTTTCATATGCACAACTGGTGATGTTCCTCAACCTATGAAAAGTCCTTTGCAAGCAGTTTTAAGAAAAGGTACCTCAAACCTCCACCTAGATAGCTGTTAAGCATCTTTACAATAAAGATTTTGGAGCTACTATGGCTTCGATTTAACACTAAAAGAATATAAGCAGAGAGAAAAGCCCAATTACGGCAGTAATTTAGGAAAGAGAAAAGTCTGCAGCTTGGGACAACTGGAGTTTGAAAAATTTAGGATGCTACATAAAATGGACGAATTTCTCATTCTCCACCGTTTTTCTCTATTGTGTCAGTAGAGGTCAAGGGTGGTTAGGGTGACTTCTGCTTCAAGGAAAACCTTCAATGAGTATTAGGCTCATTTAATGAACTCT